CCATGTCACAGAACCATCCACAGCAGCCTAAAATTTTACAGTGATGGTTTTTTGTTTTGTGCTTTATTCAAAACTAGCAGTGTTTAAGGGGCGATTAAGTGCATTGGAGTAGCATAACCAAATGAAGATTCTACCACATCCAAAATCCAAAGGAGGCCAATGGGCACTGGATTCATTTTGGCTGTAGGAGATAGCAGTTCTTACAGCAACATTTCTTCATTGTGGGAAGGATATCTATTCTTCAGAGTCCATGAGTTGCTTCATTATTTTTATTACATTAGTTCTCACATGTCTGATGGGCAGATATTGCTACCGGACCCCAAAAAAGTTACACTGAAATCAATGCAATTCCCATGGGGAGAGAATGGAAGTACTGAAAATTAACTCAAGTTCGAGTCTCTGGGATATTGTGCTAGTTCAATAAGTTTGAAATTTTGACATTATCCTTAGAGACTATAAATTTACTCTTAAGTATTTTTTTCCTTTGGTAAAAATATTTTTGTCACTATTTCTTTTTATTTTAAATTTTAAATATTGTAACTGAATGTTATTCATACCATGTGACTTAATCATATTCAGTCCTTCTTCCCTAACCCCTCCATATCCATAATCTCTTCTCTACCTGCCCAACATTGGTCCTTTTTTAAAACACCTATCAAAGACAGCAGGAGTTCCCCATATATTCTTGGGTATGTGGCCTTTCTCTGGAGTGTAGTCAATTTGCCAGAGTGTACACTCTTGAGAAAATGGACTCTCCCCTCCCAGATGCTATCAATTGCCAAGAGATCCTTGACTAAAAGATGGAACTTTGTGCCCATCTCTATTTTCCATGTTGGTATTTGGTGTCAAAGGTCTTCCACATGAGCTCACATCTACGAGTTCACATGTACATATGCAGTGTTCAAAACAGTTTCCTTGTAGTTGTCCTCTGCTCTTACGCTCCTTCTGCCGCCTCTTCTGCACTGAACTCTGAGACTTGGGAGTGAGGGGTATGCTATAAATGTCCCATTTAGGGCTAAGCATTCCTCCATCACTTGTTCTCTGCCCCATGGCCCGCTGTGAGCCTCTGTGTTAACCGGCAGCTACTGCGAATAGAGCCTCTCAGATGAGGATCGAGAAACATGTTAATCTATTGGTATAATGATAAACCATTAGGAAAAAGCTTAATATTATGTTCATTTAGCACAGTGGTTCTCAACCTGTGGGTTGTAAGGCCTTTTGGGGGTCAAACAACCCTTTCACGGGGTGCCATATCAGATACCCTGCATATCGGATATTTAGATTATGATCCGTAACAGTAGAAAACCTACAGTTATAAAGTAGCAACTAAATTTGTATACTTTGGGTCCACCAGCACTATGAAAGTTGGTTATTAGGGCTGAAGCTTGCAGGTTAGTATCAGCTTGATAGCTCCATGTTCTATGACTCAAGCATATGATGCCTTCAGAAATTGTGTCTTACCATAAAGTTCCAGAGGGTAACCAAGATAATTGGCAATAGCCTATACTATTTGATGGTCTATAGGACCTCACAACTGGCCAGCAACTCTAAAAATTGTAACTCATTTTTTATATATCAACCGTGAAAGGAAACATGAATATGTAAAAACCAAAAGTGTTCTGGATATAAAAAGCATTGGAAAAAAAAAACTTTAGGGGAAATTGAATGGAAATATATTTTCAAAGAGAATTTTAAAATGATGTAAAATTTCCAACTGCAAAGCGAATAATAGTGTATTTTAAATAGTGGGTGATAGTAAAAGTACACTTATCGAATTTCTGACCGAACCATCAAACGAAAGAAAGAGTTGCAGCTTTAGTTTAAAATGCTAATATCTAGTAAGTTTCCATGTAACTTTTTTAGAAGGAATTTTGTGTTATTTACCGCTCCTTAGATTTTTTTTTTCTCTATCTAGCCCTCCTAGCACATTCAGTCCTTTCTAGAGATAAAATTATAAGAAAGGAATCCTTTTCCTTTTCCTATTCTTAGATACTATATCGTGTTTTTAAAAAAATGTCAAAATATAGCAGGTGGATGGGGAGTTCTGAATGGGGTGGGTGGGAACGGAAGCAAGAGGGATTGGGGGGGAAGACAGAGGAAAGAGTACTGGGAGAAAGAACTGGAACTGGGAACATCTCTGGAAAGATCTAGAAACCCAGTGCAAGGGAAACTCTCAGGTATACATGAGGGTGAACCTAGCTAAGACTTCTAGTATTGGGGAACACGGTCTGAACCAGTCAACCATCTCCGGTAACCAGGAAGACTTCTAACTGTGGGATTGGGACACCAACTCAGCCATGAAACCTTTGACCTCCAATTTGTCTTGCCTACAAGATGTGCTGAGGTTAAAATGGTACAGAACTTGTGGAGGTGGCCAATGACTGGTCCATTTTGAGACCTGTGCCATGGAAGGAGCCCACCCCATGATACTTCCTGGAGAACTGGGAACCAGAGGCTGGATAGCCCAGAGACCTGGGATAGACACAATCATGAATGGGAAAAAAATAAGTCAATGAAATGATTTTTAATGATAGTCTGGTATCCTCATAGATTGGTGCCTAGCCCAACTGACATCAGAAAGGCTTTCCCCAGCAACTGATGGGGGAAAAAATGCAGTCAAACATTAGGTAGAGCTTTGGGAATCATGCTGCAGAGGAGGAGAAAGGATTGTAAGAGCCAGATGGGTTAAGGACACCACAAGAAAACCCACAGAATAAATTAACCTGGGCTCATAAGGGATCATAGAGACTCAACCACCAACCAGGGAGCCTGTATGGGACTGACCTAGGCTCTCTGCACATATGTTACAGTTGTGTAGCTTGGTCTTCTTGTGGAAGCCCTAACAGTAGGCACAGGGGTTGCCTCTGACTCTTTTGCCTGCCTGTGGGACCGTTTTCTTCTTCTACTGAGTTGCCTTGTCTAACCTAACTAGGAGAGGAAGTGCCTAGTCTTACTGCAACTTGATATGCCATGGCTGGTTAATGTCTATAGGAGGCCTGCCCTTTTCTGAAGAGAAATGGAAGAGGAGCAGACTGGGGATGAGGGAAAGAGAGGAGGTGGGAGGCAGGTTTGGAGGAGAGGAGGGAGGGAAAAACTACAGTCAGGATGTAAATTAATTAATTAAACAATTTATTTAAAAGATTTAAAAACGTGTCAAATTACACACACTAAAATGAACTTTAGTTTTCTGTAGCATGTGGCAAGCACCCCCAGCTGGGGCAGTGGTCACCAACCTTTGTTTGTATAGTCCTTTAAAGGGAATGAAAAAAAAAATCTCTTGTCAAAATTAATTAAGTGTATAATCAAAGCTTTCCTCGTGTTTAAATAATTGGTGATCTAGTTTTATTTCTGTTGCTATAATAAAGCACTCTAACAAAAAACAACTTAGAGGAAGAAAGAGTTGATTTGGCTTACACTCAGGTCTTAATCAGTGGCGGAGAGAAGTCAAGAGCAGAAGCTGAAGGCAGACCTACTCGCTCTTCCACACATTACCTCTAACCAGGGAACTCATGGAGGAATGCTGCTTGATGGCCACTGACCCAGACTTGGCTAGTGTTCTTCTACAGACCAAGACTTCCTGCCCACAAAATATTTCTGCCCACAGAGCACTAGGCCTTCCTTACATCAGTTAATAAGCAAAATAATTCCCCACAAACATGCTTATAGACTAATCAATCTTACCTGAGAAATCCATCACTTGAGACTTTTTTTTTTCAGGTGACCCTGGGTTCTGTCCAGTTGACAGTTAAATAAGACAATTGGAAATTATATAAATTTAACTACATTATATACATTGGCATTTTAAACTAAAGCTGCAACTTCTACTTTTGTTTGGTGGTTGGGTCAGAAACTCAGCAAGTTTATTTTTACTATCACCCATTGTTTAAAATACACAAGTGTTTGCTTAATGATTGGAAATTTGACATCATTTTTTTTTCTCCTTGAAAGCATATTTCCATTCAATTTCCCCTAAAGATTTTTTTTCTAATGCTTTTTATATCCAAAACACTTCCGGTTTTTACCCACTCATATTTCCTTTCAGTGTTGACTACACTATCTTTTCAATTTATTTCCTGTAACTATAGGACTTTATTTGGTTCTTAAATTTGTTCTGGATGACAAGGCTAGAGAAATGGCCCTGCAGCGAAGAACATTTACTGTTCTTGAAGATGACCCAAGTTTGGTTCCCAACACCCAACTCAGGTGGTTTACAACTACCTGTAACTATAGCTCTGGGTGGTTTGAACCATCTTCTGGTCCCCCTGAGTTCTTACACTCTCTTGCACATACTCACACACAGACAGATGCTCATAGACATGCTTAAAAATAAAATAAATCTTTCTTTTTAACATCGGTCACTTCTTAACTCTTTTAAAAGAGATTGTTCTGGATTAAATTATAATTGTTAGTAGTATGCAATTCGTTGAGTAATATATACAAATTTATCATAATCATACAACTTGGATAGTGTGATTAATTCAGATTACAATCCATTGAATAACACGTTAAAATATTTTTACCGTAATTGTACAATACTGTGGCTAGTGTGTTTGATTCATTTGGATTGTCTGCTTGGTTGAATTAACAAACTCCTAAGCCACTAATGAGGCATACTTTTTTGTGTGTCTGCTGTGAGGATGTTTCCTGAGAACTTCGACTGAGGAGGAAAGACTCGTGTTACACATGAGAGGGAGAAGGCTACTGAACACCAGCATTGTCTCCCGGTGCTTCCTGTCTGTGGATACACTGTGGCCACCTGCCTCACATTCCTGCCAACGTGCATTCTGCCCGAATGGACTGTTCCTCCTCACACCGTGAGCATCATAAATCCTTACTCCCACAGGTTCCTTCTGTCTGGTGTTCTGGTCACAGCAGTGAGAAAGGTAACTAACACTGGTAGACAGAAATTTTTAAATGTAATTCATTTATTCTTTGATAAATAATAATTTATGGTAGAATAAGACAAGCTTCACCATGAATTATATTCCTGTTTTAAATTTCATATGTTAAACTGAATATCATCAGAAATTCTTTTTAATACCTATCACCTAAAAACGCAGTTTGATGCTTCTGAATTTTGTTGAAAGCAAAAACTTGACAACTACCCAACCCACACAAAAAAGTATAGTTATTTACCTTTTAAATTTCTGGGGGGAAACACCAAAAAAAAAGGCTTTCAGTGGTGCTTAACAAATGCTCGCTAGCTGAAGTTGCTACTCCTTTGGGAAGAATCAAGGCACTTCCTTTAGTGTGAGACCAAGAGCTACTATTGTCCTTCAAGATGTTTCAAATTGGCCTTCAGACTCCAACATGGGATGTCACTGGATGTTGGCTGATCCGAGAGTGGTACCCTTAGCGTGGTGGAAATCCACAGACAAATCAGAGTAAGGGCTCCCACTGTTCTAGACAGCTTTGTCTTAAAGGCCTTGAAAAGAAAAGGTATGACACACTATCGACGTATTTAAATGCAAACCTTAAAAGCAATCGACCTAAATAGACCCTTTCCGAAAGAAGACACACAACTGGTCAACAGGGATATGAAACACGCTCTGCGTAACTGTTAATAACGCAAACCCAACTCGTTGTCACTTCATGCCAGTAGGAATGGCTGTTATCAAAACGACAAAAAGATCTCAAGCACTAGTTTGATAGTTAGAAAAGGAAATACGTCCATACTCTAGGTGGGAGTGTAAGCTGGCCATTGAAGAAAAGAATATAATGGCATTCTTAAAAATTAAAACTAAGTTTGTATGCTGCAGCAGACCCACTACCACATCCCGAGAAAATGAAACCTGTGTGTTGAAGAAACATCTGTGTTACCTTGTTTATCACAGCACTATTCACAAGAATGATAAATGAAAACAACCTAAGTGTTCAACCAATGAACACATTTAAAAAAAAGTGTGGTACACTGACACGATGAATATTGTTAAAATAAAATATTAAAAAAAAAAAAGAAAGGTACCCACTTGGAGGAAAGATTAGAGAGACTTATTAACAAGTGCTAAGTTAAAGTAGGAAAAAATGCATTCTGGTATTCTGTTGAAGAGTATGGCAAACAGAGTAATTATAATGTAGTATGTGTTTCAGAAAAGAAACTAGAAGGAGGAGTATTTGGGATATTTGTACCACTAAGAAATGGCAAGTATTTGAAATTGTAGATATTTGATTCTAAGCCTGATTTGAGAATTGTACAATATATACATGTATCAAAACTTTACATGGCACCCTAGAAGCATGTAACATTCTTATGTATTAGTTAAATAATTGTTCTAAAAATGGAGTCCAAAAAATATATGCAAACAATAATCATAGTTAAATACTTCCCTTAATCTTAACATTTTCATATGTTTTCTTCCAAATGTTGATATTTCAGATTAGGCAGAATCTATTTATAGAAAAGTCTTCTATGTAATTGAATGAACAAAGCAAGCCCTCATTGCTAAACCCATCAGTCAAGTCAAACATAGCCCTGACATTATGTTTTTCCACTAAACAAAAATGGTATGTCAATACTCATGCCTGTAATAACCAGCTCATTTCTGAGTTATATTTCTCAGAAACAGTAAAACCGGGACTCAAACCACAGGCACCGATTTGTTGCTAAATACACAAGAGCAAGCTGCCTCCAGGATTCGTTCCAATATGTGTCTGTCTTCATGCCACTTTCCAGAAGTTCCTGCATTGGGCACTATTAGTTGCAGGCAGAAAAACTGAAAACTGATAAGGTTGTTCAGTTTAAAAAAAATGTTGGGATGAAAAAGAACATTTCTACAACATACTTTGCTTTCAATGGAAACTTTTTAAAAAAGCAAAGGATGTGTAAGAAGAAATCAGTGTTCATTGATCATCAAAGACCTTCTTCATAGCAGTATTTCAAATGGTCCCTTTGTTCTGAACTCTCAGGAAATTTTATACCCCATTCAGAATAGCTGAGAGGTCTGACTTCATTCTATAAAAAAAAAAAAGGCGGGGGGGGGGGGGGGGAAGTGAGAAAGAAATCTAGTCTATTCCCAGACCCTGGTGATGTTTTAATTTTAAGGTTGATTTTAAGAAATTTACAGGTTAATTTTAAGGAAAAGAAACCATTTGAAAGTTGAGTGTCCAAAAAAAGTCTGTCATGAACAGTCCTTGTTACAACCCCAGAGAAGCTGATGTGTCAGCCTGCATCAACCAGGAAGGAGAATTAGCTGTGACCTGCAGGACCAACAGGAGTTAGGCAGGCAAGTGAAGTCTTGACAAGCTTTGTTTTATGATCACAGCTGAGACAGCAGATAAGGGTCTTGAACAAGGTGTGTCAGTAGCCATGTGGGTGTGAGGAACATTTGCATGAGGGCTACTGTTTTGGTCCCTCCCAAAGTCACCGCCTTACACAAGCATGAGGTCTTACCATCTGAATTACTCTGACCACGAAGAAATGACCATCTGTGCAAATGTTTTCAATTCCCCCAAAACAGCCGAAATCCAGTCATGTGGCTCTTCCTTCTCTGCCTTCTCACTTCTGGTCACCTGGGAATGATACGTTCTTCCATTTTAAATTTTCTGGCTGGCTGGCTTTGTTCCAATTCAATGTTTTAATTTGGTCTGTGGTAACATCCTTCTGCTGTCTCTACTGTCTCTATACCACTTCCTCTACTCCATTGTTCCTGTCACAAATGTTGTATTTTCTAGATGTCAAACCTAACCATCAAACACCTTCCTTCTGAACTTTAACTCTTCATTTCCTTTAGCATAATAAAAAAGCAGCTTAGTCTTCAATACTACCCCTCTCTGGTAACAATTCTAGCTTCATCTTGCCTGGGTTTTCCTCTTCTCTCCCTTTCTCTGTTTCTACTGAACTAGTTTTCCTTTCCCAGGGCTCAGTGGCCATTCATGTCTCCAGGCCTTTGCACACACTCTGTTCTTCTTTCCAGTAAGTTTTTTTTTTCTTATTTACAGAGTGCTTTAATGATTCTGTGACTTTTTTAAATTTTGTTTTATTTATATATTTATTTATTACTATTCACTTTGTATCCATACTGTAGCCCCATCCCTTGTCTTCTCCCAGTCATGCACACCCACCCTCTTCTCCCCCTATGCCCTTTTCCTAGTCCGCTGATAGGGGAGGACCTCCTCCCCTTCTATCTGACCCTTCCTTATCAGGTCTCATCAAGGCTGGCTGTATCTTCTTCTGTGGTCTGCAAGGCTACACACACCCCCGCCCAGGGGGAGGTGATAAAAGAGCCAGCCACTGAGTTCATGTCAGAGACAGTCCCTGTACCCTTTACTAGGGAACCCCCTTGGAAATCAAGCAGCCATTGGGCTTCCTTTGAACAGTGGGTCTCTCCATACATGGTCTTTAGTTGGAGTATTGGTCTCTGCAGGTCCCCCTGGACCCAGTTATTTTGGCTCTGTTGATCTCCTTGTGGAGTTCCTGCCCCCTCCAGGTCTCTCTATCTCCCCTTTTTCCCATAAGGATTCTGGCACTCTGCCCAAAGTTTGGCTATGAATCTCAGTATCTCATTCGATACCCTAGTGGGTAGAGTCTTTCAGAGGCCCCCGTGGAAGGCTCCTGTCCTGTTCCTTGTCTTCTCCTACTTCTGATGTCTATTCTGTTTGCCCTTCTGAATGAGGATTAAGCATATTCCATGTTTGTTAGCTTCTTTAGGGTTATAGATTTTATTATGTTTATCCTATATTATATGGTTAATATCCACTTATAAGTGAGTATATACCATGTGTGTCTTTCTGCTTCTGGGTTACCTTACTCAGGATGATCTTTTCTAGTTCTTACCATTTGCCTGCAAATTTCATGATGTCCTTGTTTTTAATTGCTGAGTAGTATTCCATTGTGTAAATGTATCACACTTTCTGTATCCATTCCTCCACTGAGGGACATCTAAGTTGTTTCCAGATTCTGGCTATTAGGAATAGAACTGCTATGAACATGGCTGAGAAAATGTTCTTATTGAATGGAGAGGCATCTTTTGGGTATATTCCTAGGAGTGGTATAGCTAATTTTATATCCTTATTTTTTGTTTGTTTATTTGGTTTGTTGTTGTTGGCTATTTCTTTTGATGTTGTTGTTTTGTTTTTTGAGACAGGATTTCTCTGTGTAGCCGTGGCTGTCCTGGGCGCACTTTGCAGACCAGGCTGGCTTCAAACTCACAGAGGTCCACTTGCCTCTGCCTCCCTGAGTGTTGCAATTATAGGTGAACACCACCATGCCCGGTTGTTGTTGCTATTTCTGTTTTTGGTTGTTTGTTTGTTCATTTGTTTTTTTTTTTTCTTTGAGATAGAGTATCACTTTGTAGTCCTAGCTGTCCCAGAACTTAGTATATACCCCAGGATGGCCTCCTACTTGTAGCAATCTTCCTAGCTTGCCTTCCAAGTGCTACGATTACAAGCATGAACTAATACTCCTGGCTATCTTTTAAGTTAATAAAACAGATAATAAAGCAGATAATTTTAGTAGGACATAGCTAAAACTATAGTGAAGCACATGCACAAAGACAACAATTAATTAAGTAATAATAAACGTACACAGATAGAAGTATAGAAGAAAAACAGTGGCAGTATAGAAGAAAAACAGTGGCCCAACCTAAGGTAAAGGTCGGTACCTCTAAAATGAGGTGGTACAGGGTTAGCATTTGAAGAACAGATGTGAGTTAGTTCAATAGTTGATGAGTAAGGGTTTTGATGGCAACATAAATAACTTAAAAAAAATACATAGTTGAAGGAAACTGAGAAAACCATCTGACTTACCACGATTAGCATATACACATACATGTATGTATCAAGAAACAGTATAGCCAATTTTGTAGAAGAATGGGGTTGCTTCCCATGAAGTAAGAGTGTCTTCAAAATAGGTGGAATGCATACTTATCTGAGTTCTAAAGCATGTGGACACAAACTATCCTTCAATCAATAACAGATTTGATTGACATTTGTCAGATTCTGCTCAAGTATCATTCCTGTAGGAAGCCTTCCTCCCATCTAGACAAACTGCACCAAGCCCCTTTCTTTGGGTTCTCTTTGAATTTCTCTAGAATAGCAATGCTTATATCATAGTCATAAGATTTATTTATATGTCTGTCTCCCTTTCCAGACTTTAGTCTTCTCGCTTATGTTTTCCTCAAATCCATAATAGTATCAAATATTTGGAGAACACTGAAAAACAATATTATTTTAAAATAGTATAGAGACTGGCAATATGGATCAGCAGGCAAAGTCACTTGATGGCAAGCCTGACCACCTGAGTTTGATCTCTGAGGCACACATTGTGGAAGGAGAGAACTAACTGACTCCTGCAAGTTGTCCTCTGACCTCCACACTTACACCATGGGGCAGGTAAATACACACACATGCACACACACTAAGTAAAATGTGAAAGAGAAAAGAAAAACTACCATTTATTGTCTTCCATGTTTCATGTGAGCATTACCCAAATTTTGGGAATCTGGGAACTATTTATTGGAAGTCAAAATTATATGAGATCAAAGAACTAGTCATTACTATTGTTCTCAGTTCTATACTGTCATTAAGAAATATCTAAAATGTTTACGTAAAACTCACATAAGCAACTTTACCCTTAATACGTAGTATTCACAATATGGACAGGGCTACACTGTACTCACCTTCCATCCATTTCTTTACATGATGTTATTTCATAGGTGAGGTGAGTCCAAAATTTCCATTATTACTTTTAACCACTGAGTAGAATCATAAGACATCAGATATGTTCTGTGAAAAACTAAGGTGTGGAATAGAATTTATAGTCAAAATATAAACATGGTGAATATTTTGGAATTAGGTATCAAAAATTATGTTTGCTACATTAAAGTCTGTGAAATCACTAGTAACCAAGTAAAATATATCTTTCGTATAACATGGGATGTTGGTGGTGAACAACAACAACAAAAAAGATTATCGTGCCCCTTTTCCTAAAATATGTACAATATTATGGTAAATGCTGAATCCTACTCTGCATCTGATTATATAAACAAAACATCTAGCCTGGCCTAGGTACAGGCCTGTAAAACCACAACCTTACTGTATGCTGCCTACAAGAAACTCACTTCAAACACAGTGCTAAGGGGAAAAAAGGGGGGGGGATAGAGGAATTTTATTTCAGAACATGGCTGTTCTGGCAAGAGATCACATCCAAATGCCTTCTACTTCTATGTGATCTGGCTGGAATACAAACACCCCTTTAATCCAGAAGACAGAAACAAGAAGATCTGAGTTCAAGTCCAGCCTGGTATAGAGCAAGTTTCAGGTAAAGAAAAGCTTAGATCCAGGTGTGGTGGTACATGCTTTTAATCCCAAACAATGAAGGTAAAGTAACTTTGCGAAAGGAAAGCACCCATGTTTGAAAGTGATGTCTAACTGAGTGGCTGAAAAGGTGACAAATCAGAAAATATTTGAGAGAGTAGGATATGCCCAACTCACAAAGAAGGCAGAGGAAAGGGAAGCCACTTAAGGAGCAATGCAGAGAGAGAATGGAGGCAGTTTTACTGGGACCATAATGGAGAGACAGGTTTCAGAAAAAGAACACAGGTGAAAACTAAGTGAGCCAGAAGATGAGATGGAGCCAGAAGATTAGAAAAGATTGTGGGAATTAGTTGGAGGCCAATCAGAGCAATCCAGATACTGAGAGAAAAGCCAGATTGTATAAATTAGCTGGTAGAGGAGTTAGAGCCAGAACTGCTAAGTTGAATGAGCCAGCCCAGGGCTCAGAAAGAACAAAAAAGGATGAGCTTATTCAACTGTTAACTCTCAGAGGCTTAAAACATTCTAGACCTAAGGTTAGATTATACGGAGTCTAGAAGCTTCCAGGACTAGGCCTAGGTTAGCAGACAGAGGCAGTAATTTCCAGTAATCTTCTGAGAGAACAATTGAAACAGGAGAATAAAAGTTCCTTTTACATAGAGAGGCACCATGTAAATGATAGAAAGATAGCTATGTTAATATGAGATAAAGCATAGACTGAAGAGGAACATGACACAATTATACCTACTCTACTTAAAATCTTAAGTGATAATGGGATAACTGTTCTTGTAAAAATATAAGCTGAAAAACTTTGAGTTGTTTTCTATGCTGTCAGTGACATGGCCCTCAGCTTAGATATCCAAAAGAGTTACTCTTTAGATTATAAAATACAATTTAATTTATGAGTGATAATACAAATGAATGGCTTACAACAGTGAATAAATTGTTATTTATGTTTGTTAATATTTTAACATTTTAGAATTAAAATTATTTCCAAAATCATTGCTGAAAAAGAAGGAAAACATACATCTGAGAATAAGAATGAAGGAGAACCAAAGAGATAGCTCAGCAGATGGATGCACTTGCCACCAAGTCTGGTAACCTGAGCTAAATCCCCAGCCCCACATAGTGGAAAGAGAACATTGACTCCTACAAGTTCTTCTCCAACATATGTCCATGTTATACACACACACACACATACACACACACGAATGCATGCACACACGCACATGCACACTTTTTTAAATGAAGGATAAAGATTTGAAGATAAGAATGGTACAAAACAGCCATCTCAGCATGAAGGAGGGTGAATAGTCTAAGAAAAATAGTCAATTATTGAGGTACATTATATTTAATTGGTTATAAACTTAAAATGATTGAACGTTTTTCTCCAATACATTGAGCTGTGCAAAGACAGAGAACACTGAACACTGTGTCTAAGGCTATGGTCTAAACAAGTGAGAAGATTAAAAATATGCCAAAGAGACTAATAACAGAAGTTGTTAGAAATACAGTGCTGGCAGTAGATTTTCCCAAATATGAAATAATTCAAAAGCATGGTATAAAGCTTCAATATACTACAAGAAGAAAAGAACGACATCAATCCCAGATCACTGAGTTACCACAGGGTCAGCGCTGAATATTTAGAAACAGATACTTATATTGATCATATACCAAACGTGGCATTTCCAAGTATTAGAGATGGCTAGTTAAGAAATATTGCTGGGATGATGTCTAACCAACTGCCAAACGTATAGAGGATTAGATTCTTATTTCACACCATACCCTAAAATAAATTTCAGGAGAATTAGAGTTTTAAATATAATAGAAAGTAATATTCTTGGGTAAAAAAACTCTATTAGTAGGCATATATGTTAGGATGGTAGGGTACTAGGAATTCTAAAGACAGAGCCAAGAGGATAAATATAAATACACAGAGAACTGGACATATGAAGGGAGATTTACTAGAAAAATTACCTCACATGATTATAGAGGCTAATATCATGATGGCGCTTCTGCAGGCTGGAAATACTGAGATATCCACAGAATGGCTTAGTCTAACTCTGAAAGCCTCTGATGATTTAAGTCTTCATCCAAAACCAAAGGCACGAGAACTCAGGGTTCCACCCAAGATATAAGTCCTGAAGTAAACAGTCCTAATGCCCAAGGGCACAGAGTCTCAGTAAGCTTGGAAGAGGCCCAGATAAAAATCTTAGCCCAAGAAAACACTGCTTTCAACCCATTATGCTTCCAAGGATAGAACCCAGCTACATTCCTTTACTAGATTTCTTTTTTTTTTTTTAATTTATTTTTTTGGTGGAGGTTCTAGTACATTTTCCACAGGCATAAGAATATCACAGTACATGAAGGAGCAGCAACAACAATTCTCTTGGCTATTGAAAATGGTATACAACAAGTGGCAAAAAATATGCCATTTGTCTTAGGTCCAAGGCAGTAATTCCTTTGGTTATTTTTATATATCCAAACCTGTTTTCTGGAGACTTTATATATAGAAGGCTAACTGATGGAATTCTTCATAATTCTGTTGTCGAATTTAGTTTTCTGAACAAGACAGTCCTACTGTCAAGTCTGTTTTTGTTTGTCTCTGTCACTCTTTTTCTCTTCTCTTCTCTCTCTCTCTCTCTCTCTCTCTCTCTCTCATGCATGTGTGTATGTTAGTACACATCTGTATGCACACATGAAGGCCAGAAGAAGGCATCTGGACATGTTAATTTGTCTTTCTTCCCTTATTCCTTTGAGACAGGATCTCTCCCTGCACCTGGTGCTTCCTTTTTTCTCAGCTAGACTGATAACCATCAAACCCCGGCACTCATTTGTCCATCTCTTCCAGAACTGTGTTTATAGCCTGAATGGCAAGCCTGGATTATTTCTCAGGGGATGATATCGAAATTCTCATCCTTTTGATTGTGTAATGAGCACTATTAACTGCTGAGTCATCATTCCAGCCCAAGTTGGGGTGTCTTGAGCATGCAACATCACTTGTTGGTTCTCCATTTTCTGTACTTATGGAAGAATACACAAATTTCTTCACCACCTCAAAATAGTTGTGTTTACATATGTGAAAAATAGAAGCTTTTGGAATGATATCTGGGAAGTTCTCAGGCATGTTGAGGCTGGGCCTCACTTTTGACTGTGCCATCTTGGAGAATTTTTTTTTTTTTGTCTTTCTTTTTTTTAAAAAATGCACAAGACCTTCACAAGATCCCTTGGATCTTCTATGTTAATATATATATATATATATATATATATATATATATATATATATA